AACTCGTACTGCCCAGCAAGTCTTTCTGTGAACGCCTAAGCCTCCAAGTGGGCAATGGCTGCTCCTGTGAGTCATCAAAGCCATGTAAGGGCATGTGACTTCCTCATGTGACCCTGGACTCCACCTTGTGCCTGTACTTTTCCACAAACTATGCTGTGGGCTTTGTTTGGAACAGTAAAATTCCATCCACATGGCAGAGGGTATAAAAGACCCTGGAAACATCTCCATTTTGTCTTCATATCCTGCTTCATTTCTCTGAACTGGATTTCTAACAAGGGAGCTCTAAACAAGGACTGATGACCCCAAAGCTGTTTGGGTAATTTCCAAAGAGATTTTTGCAGACTAGCAGTTTATTCCATCATAGCTTCAAACCTGACATAAGAACTTTGCAATCGTAGAATCATAGAACTGGAAGGGACCTCGAGAGGTTATCTAGTCCAGTCCCCTGCACTGATGGCAGAACTAAGTATTATCTAGACCAGTGGTTTTTAAACTTTTTATATTGGTGACCCCTTTCACACAGCAAGTTTAGGGGTGTGACATCCCCCCCCCACTACACATTAAAAATGGGAGGGGTAATTTAATTTAATGGGGGCTGGGAGCTGTCAGCCCCAAGGAGTTGACAGTTCACGACCCACATGTAACCACCTTGTGACACCCTGAGGGGTCATGACCCCAGTTTGAGAACCCTTGATCTAGACTATTCCTGACTGGTGTTTGTCTAACCTGCTCACAAAAATCTCCAATGATGGAGATTCCACAACCTCTTTAGGCAATTTATTCCAGGCAATTTAGTCACCTGAAAGGAAGTTTTTCCTAATGTCCAACCTAAACCTCTCTTGCTGCATTTTAAGCCCATTGCTTCTTGTCCTCAGGACCGTTCCTACCCATACGCAAACTACGCAGCTGCGTAGGGCACCAGGAAATTTGGGGCACCAAATTGCCCCAAATTTCCTGGTGCTCTACACAGCTGCATGCTGCTCCAGTGGCCAACCCGATCCCCCGGCTGGCTGAGCCGGCCAGGAAAGCTGCCCCGCACCTGCTCCGCCCCCACCCCGCCTCTTCCCCAAAGCCCGCACCCCTGCTCCGCCCCAACCCCACCTTTTCCCACTCCTGCTCTGCCACAGCCCCCACTCCACCCCTTCTCCAAAGCCCCCGCCCTGCCTCTTTCCACCCCTGTTCCGCCCCCACTCCACCCCTTCCCGTGAGCTATGTCCCAGGGGACTGCAGCAGGGGTCAGGCACGCCTTGCACTCACCGGGTGGCGGGAAGTGGAGCGACCCGGACCCAGCCTGCTCCGCTCTGCCGGCTCGTGCTGGGGGGTGGTTTTCCCCCTGCCCCCCAAAGACCTTGGTTGCAGCCCCACCCTGGGAGGCCTGGGGACACCCCCCTCTCCCCCCCCCCCACAGAGGGGCTGCATAGGGCACCACTATGTCTAGGGATGGCCCTGCTTGTCCTATCCTCAGAGGTTGAGAACTATTTTTCTCTCGCCTCCTTGTAACAGCCTTTTATGTACTTGAAAACTGTTATGTCGCCTCGCAGTTTTCTCTTCTCCAGACTAAATAAACCTAGCTTTTTCAATCTTCCCTCATAGGTCATGTTTTCTAGACCTTTAAGCATCGTTGATTCTCTCCTCTGGGCTGTCTCCACTTTGTCCACATCTTTCCTGAAATGTGGCACCCAGGGCTGGACGCAATACTCCAGTTGAGGCCATAGTAGCATGGAGTAGAGCGGAAGAATTACTTCTTGTGTCTTGGTTACAATACTCCTGCTAATACGTCCCAGAATGATGTTTTCTATTTTTGCAAGTATTATATTGTTCACTTATATTTAATTTGTAATCCACTATGCGCCCCAGATCCCTTTCTGCAGTATTGTTTCTTCGGCAGTCATTTCCTATTTTGTATGTGTGCAACTGATTGTTCCTGCCTAAGTGGAGTACTTTACATTTGTCCTTATTGAATTTCATCTTATTTACCTTCAGACCATTTCTCCAGTTTGGCCAGATCATTTTGAATTTTAATCCTACCCTCCCAGCTTGGTATCATCTGCAAACTTTATAAGTGTACTTTCTATCCCATTACCTAAATCATTAATGAAGATATTGAACAGAACCAGACCCAGAACTGATCCTGGCAGGACCCCACTTGTTATGCCCTTCCAGCTTGACTGTGAACCACTGATAACTACTCCCTGGGAATGGTTTTCCAACCAGTTATGTACCCACCATATAGTAGCTTCAGCTAGGTGGTATTTCCCTAGTTTGTTTATGAGACAATCATCTGAGACAATATCAAAAGCTATTTTAAAGTCTATTACTTCCCCCATCCATGAAGCTTGTTACCCTGTCAATGAACGCTATTAGGTTAATTTGACACAATTTGTTCTTGATAAATCCATGCTGGGAAATTATCATTCTAGGGGGGTATTTCTAGTGGGCACCCACAGTGAGCTGCTCTAAGCCTGATGCTATTCAACATTTTTATCAATGATTTGGAAGAAAATATAAAATCACTGTGTCATCTGCAAACTTTATTGGCAAACATGAGTGGAGTGGTATGTGATGGTTAGTGCTCGCTGGAAGTGTTTCCGAGTGGCCAGGGGATCAGGCCCTTCCGAATGCAAAAAGGGGGAGTTGGTAGGAGGAGGTCAGGTCCTCCCACTCCACCAGGCTCTGGCCCAGGGTACTGTAAGGGCTACCAAAGGTCCAGCATACCAGAGCACCTTATGGCTACCCTCCTTGGGCCACTTCTTACCACCCCTCTATCGTCCAAGTTTTGCAGCTTGTAGTGAAATGATAACAGAAAAAGGTACTAACTCCACCGTCAGTCAGTCTGGAACCAGCAGGCAGACAGCCTCTCCTTTCCCAAGATAAGGCTGCTGCAGCGTCCCTTCCAAGGAGTTCCTAGGGCAGCTTCCTCTCCCTGCCTTGTCAGGCTCCTTTCTGAGCCGTGTGACTTCTTTTTAAGTTCCAGCTCCATCTGGAGCATGGTCTGCAGATGTGGCTATGCAGGGTCATCTAGGGTGACCTAGAGTTGCTCTTTAACCCCTTCAGTCCTAGTGTGGGGTTAATAAACCCCATCACATGGTAAATTTTGATGGGAACAGGTCACTTACATAGAGCAACCTGGATCACTTGGTAAGGCAGGCTCATTTAAACAATGTGTTTTAACACAACGTAACGCAAAGTCATACACCTAGAAGAAAGAACGCAAGTCATATAAGATGAGAGACAGTATCCTAGAATGCAGAGATACTGAAAAGGAATTGGAAGACATAGTGGATAACCAACTGAACATGAGCGCCCAGTGCAATGCTTAGCTAAGAGAGCAATGCAATCCTTGGATGTATAAGTAGAAGAGTATCAAGTAGGAGTAAGAAGATGGTATTACCTCTCCCTACAGCATAAGTAAGACCCATTACTGGAATACTGTTGTCCAACTCTGATGGCCACTATTCACAAAGAATGCTGGAACAGGAGAAAGGGTTCAGAAGAGAATTACAAGAATTATTTGAGGTCTGGGAAGAAATGCCTTTTAGTGAATGGCTTAAGAACCTCAGTCTATTTAGTTTATCCAAGAGAACGTGAACAGGTGACTTAATAAAAATCTACAACAGGGATTGGCAACGTTTGGCACATGGTCTGCCAGGCCAACCCCCCAGGCGGGCCAGGCCAGTTTGTTTACTTTCTGATTTGTTTACTTGCCGCAGGTTTGGCTGATCGCAGCTCTCACTGGCCGTGGTTCGCTGCTCCAGACCAATGGGGGCTGTGGGAAGCGGCGCGGGCCAAGGGATGTGCTGGTGAGCCGCGTGCCAAAAGTTGCCGATCCCTGATCTACAAGTACCTGCATAGGGAAGAGATTTCTGATAGTAAAGGGCTCTTCAATCTAGGAGAAAAAGGCATAATGAGATCCAACTGTTGTAATGTGAGACAAATTTTACTACATATAATTTATACATTTATGACAATTAACCACTAGAACAACTTACCTGGGGCCAGGTGGATTCTCTATTACCTGAAGCCTTTAAATTGAGACTGGACATCTTTCTAAAAGAAATACTATAGCTCAAAGAGAAGTTACGGGCTGGATGCCAAAATTGATGGGTGTGGTTCTATGGTCTGTTATGCATAAGGTCAGCCTAGATGATCATACCAGTTGCTTCTGGCCTTAAAAAAAAAAAATCTATTAATTACTGACAATACCATTGCAAAGCCAAATCGATTAATCAAACTGGATTCTATACTTTTTTGGGCATCAGATCATCTACTAAATTCCAATTACAAGGCCAGTTGCACCTGTGCAAGGCCAGTGAAGGCAAGGGGATTACACAGAGCAGAGAGGATAATTTCAGCTGCTGAACCTTTTACAGGTGATGATGTGTGGCAAAGAGAGAACCCAGCTGACTTTTCAGATCCCAAGCTGAGTTTGCAGGACTGCAGTTAGGAAAATAAAACAAACCCATCTCTTTATGTGTAAACTGAGCACATTTGATAAAAAGAAAATTGGGGACAGATGATCATGGACACATGCAACGCCATGCATTTAGAGACTCACATTTCAGAGCAGAATAGCTTTTTATTAAGTATACCTCCCAGCAGCCCTGTGAAGTAGGTGAAGGATTGTACCACTCACAGAACTTTGTTTACAATCTGTCACAGAATCTAACTTCTGGCCTGATAACTGCGGCTTATTGCTAGAAAAGTGACTGTTTAAATTGTAACGATTTTACTTAAACATGGAGGACCTGATAACAGGTCCCATTTTTGGAGGGTGTGACAGGTTGACATTCAGGGACCAGATTCTCAAGTGTGGTGTTGCCACAGCTGAACCAGGCTGCAGTAAGAGTGTAACCAGCCATGGAAGGCTCATACCAGTGGCGCAGAGGCAGAGCAGGAGCTCCTATGTCACCACCCCTCCCTTCTATTGGTGTATCCGGAATGGAAGAAAGAAAAGAGAGTTTTGGTGTTTTAACAATTAATTAAATACAGACACAAGTTGCTGAACAGTGCACTTGGGTAGTTTAATTTAAAAATTGCTTAAACCCTTCTATTTACACAGTGTATTGCATTTTTAAAAGTGACTTCAAATTGAACTCAGCATCAACCGTTACTCTCTGGAGTCCTGCTGAAACCTGTGTTTTCTTGGTAGGACTGTAAAAGCCATCGTACACAAAAACTGACAGAATAATTTGAAGATTTGAAATTATTTTCTCATAAAAGAACTTCTCTCCACTTTGCCCATCTTAATCCTACATGATTCCTGAGAGAACTAACAATTGTTCTCCCCCAAGACTACATTGAAACAGATTGGCAAAAACCTCTTAACTGCCATTTATATGAACAGCAGACTTGTTGCAAACAGTTTTATTATAATAATGTATGCAAATCTTCCTTCAACCTCTTGCTGCTTGCCTACTACCGCATCTCAGATAGTTGTGCTGGCACTAGCTTCGGCTGGGTGTGCCTCCTTATCTGTCTCTGAAGGTGGCTCTCTTGAACTTGATTGTTCTTTTACCCTAGATTTCATGGCATGCACCGCATAGTTAATGCTAGTGCTTTCAGTCCAACTCCAGGACCCTGACAGGGGGTTGTATGACATTCCATTCACTGTCTTGACTAAAAAGCCATCTGTAAAAGAAGAGAAAAAAGATGGTGATCCTCAGACATTCTAAGTCAATGAAACATCAAGCTCTAAAAAAATAGCGAGTTCTAAATATACATTCTTCCACTGAGCTTTAGAGCAACAATACTGAGTCACTAGAAGCATATTTATAGTTGCTCAAGTTTCGCAGATTCAGGTCATCCACTTCAAAACTGATAAACTGAATATACACCTCTACCCCGATATAACGCTGTCCTCAGGAGCACCGCCCCCAAAAATATTAACGTGTTATAGGTGAAACAACGTTATACAGAACTTGTTTGATCTGC